CTGTGGGTCTTTGATATCCAGGTTGATGTCAGCCTGGCTGGGTTGCAGGATGGGGGAGGTCAGGCTGTGGAGCTGACCCCAGACTGTGCTCCCACAGGCTGCACCTGGGTACCACATGGCCAAGATGATCATCAAACTCATTACAGCCATTGGGGATGTGGTCAACCACGACCCGGTGGTGGGAGACCGCCTCCGCGTGATCTTCCTGGAGAACTACCGAGTCTCACTGGCCGAGAAAGGTGGAATGCCGCCACTGGGGACCCTAGGGAAGCTCTGATTAGTTCAGTCCCAGGAAGAGATATTAATCTCCTCTTCTTAGGGTGCTTGCACTTCAAGGAAGAATCTGGAGAGGACAATACTCAAATCATGAGGATGTCCCTTTAATGGTGGTATGGGGTGAAATTATAGGGGAGATGGGCCTCAGTGGTGCCCTTTAAATCGCACAGTGGAGCTGGGGGGGGTGGGGGGAGTCCAGGTTAGGTCCCAGATGTTCAAGAGTCAACAAGAGGTGGCGGGGCGGGGCGGGGCAGGGCAGTGAGAGAGAGACTTAGTTGGTTAAGACTGGAGCGTTGGGGGGGAGGGGACTGTGAATCTGGCTAGGCCTAGGGCCAGACTAACTCCAGAGTCTCTAGCTAGTCTGGGGCTCTTCCTGGAGCTGAGCTTGTCCCCTGCCGCCCCCCCCCCCCCCCCCCCCCCACAGTGATCCCGGCTGCTGACCTTTCCGAGCAGATCTCTACTGCGGGCACTGAGGCCTCAGGCACTGGCAACATGAAGTTCATGCTCAATGGGGCTCTGACCATTGGCACCATGGATGGGGCCAATGTGGAGATGGCAGAAGAGGCGGGAGAGGAGAACTTCTTCATCTTCGGCATGCGGGTGGAGGACGTGGAAAGGCTTGACCAGAGAGGGTATGGGCTGCGAGGTTCACAGTCTGTGCGCAGGAGGCACCAAGGTGCGACTGCTGGAGGGGAGAGCCGGGAGCAAGCGGCATGACTGGAGAGGCTGGTCCAGGCTGCACAAGGTCTTAGTTATGGCCATCACGAGTCTAGAAAATGTTTGAGGTAGCTTATAACAAATAAGGTTAATGAAATGGAAAAAGAAAGAAGTAACAAAGAACTGAAGGAAAAGGAAGAGAAAATAACATCAACCCTAAGAGATAATATCATTTCTGGAATTGGAAGTAAAGTGAAATTCTTAGCTCCCTGGCAGCCATGGCAAAAAGGGAAATATGAGTACAGTAGTTATAGCTGTGCTTGTGGTCAGAAACATAGATCTTCAGAGAAGACATTTGCCTGGCATTACATTTTTTTTTTTTGCGGTACGCGGGCCTCTCACTGCTATGGCCTCTCCCGTTGCGGAGCACAGGCTCCGGACGCACAGGCTCAGTGGCCATGGCTCACGGGCCCAGCCGCTCCGCAGCATGTGGGATCTTCCCAGACCGGGGCACGAACCTGTGTCCCCTGCATCGGCAGGCGGACTCTCAACCACTGCGCCACCTGGCATTACATTACACTGCGCCACCTGGCATTACATAAAGCCCCTGGCATTACATTTTTAACATTTTAAAATATGATTTTTTATTATCATAAAAGCAGTACATCCTCACTGGTTAGAAATATACAAAGCCACAAAGAATAAAACAACTGTCATCCATAATCTCATCACCCAAATTTAAAGCCACAGTTCTCTTTTTCTTCGTGTATTTATATGTGTGTGTATATAGTTTTTAAAAGTTGGGAATAATGTATGTACAGTATTGAATCCTGTTATCTTAACATTGGTGAGGCATTTTCCATGTCATTAGTCTTCAAGATATTTTAAATGTTTGTATAGCATTCTATCTTATGTACATGGCATAACTTATTTAACTAGTTCCTTATGGTTGGACATTAAGGTTGATTTCCCCTGTCTGTTAGGATAAACGTCCCTGTGATGACTAACCTTTTACATTGATGTCCACATCTCTGATTATTTCCTTAAGATAATTATTAGAAGGGGGTATTTCTGAGTAAAAAGTATGAGTTCTTAAGCCTCCTGATACACATTGTCAAATTGTTTTCCAGAAAGTTGGCACCAGTTTACACTCCCACCAACAGCTTACAAGAGCTGGCACTGAATATTGATAGGAATTTCTCCTGTGGGGCTTGACTAGAAAGTTTAGACTTGGTCCTTTGTTGTTGTTGTTGTTGTTTTGGTTGCACCGTGTGACATGTGGGATTTTAGTTCCTTGACTAGGGATTGAACCCGCGTCCCCTGCATTGGAAGTGTGGCAGACTTGGTCCTTTGGACAGGAAGGAAATGTGAAATGTTTTGAGCAAAGTCCAACATGTTCAGAACTAGGCTCCAGATGGACACTTTTGGCTGCAGGAGGGAGGCTTGACTGGAGGGAACAATGTCTAGGTGGGGGACCAGTGTGGGGCTGACACCAGACGGCAGGGGGAGTCCCCTGCAGCAGGCCAGTGCTGGGGATGGGGATTAGGGACATTGTTGAGGAGGCGGACTTGGTTTCTGGTTGGAAGAGAGAAAGGGGGGAAAGAGATGACACTGGTCTTGAGAGATTTGAACCCAGGTGGCTCAGGAACAGATTGTGCTGCCTTAGGAAGTGGGACACTGGAGGAAAGTTGGTGCCAGGCACAGCGATGAGCTTGGCTGGACGGTTTGAACTTAAGGATGTTCCTCAGGATATACCTGTTCACTCCTTCTGGGGCCTGAAAGTGAGGCCAGGGATGGACTGTGGATGGTGGGGGAGAAAAGCCATTCACGGAGGAAAGAAACCTGTTGTGAGACAGTGGTGGTGTGTGGGTTGGTTTGGGGCCTTTGGCTCTGACACTGCCTTTCTCTCCTCTCTAGACCTCAGTTTCCTCATCCACAAAGTTGGGGGTGAAAAGCTGAGCTGAGAAGGGAGGGGGCCTCTTGGAAAGGCCTCCAGAGGGAGCGTGGCAGCTGCAGGGAGGGCAGTAGCAGGCTGGGCCTGGGTTTTGGCCCTGGGGCTTGGAACTTCCCGGATTTTTGCTGGAGGAGGAGGAGCCAGGAACCCATTTCCAGGGCACTGACTACGGCTCTTCCCCAACAGGTACAATGCCCAGGAATACTATGACCGAATTCCAGAGCTTCGGCACATCATTGACCAGCTGAACAGTGGCTTCTTCTCCCCCAAACAGCCCGACCTGTTCAAGGCCATTGTCAACATGCTCATGCACCATGACCGGTGAGCTGGCCGGCCAGGAAACTGCGCACGTGGGGCTGCTGGGCTCAGTAGGGCTCAGGTGCGGTGGGGAGGCTGGACAGGGCTTCTGGGCAGTTGGGACTAGATTCCTTTGGAAGCAGCATCACTGTTCAGGTCCCCAGAAATCCAGTGGGACAGGATGGGCTTGGCCCTTGACCTCATGAAACTTCCTGCTTCTCCATTCCCCTCCAGGTTTAAAGTCTTTGCAGATTATGAAGAGTACATTAAATGCCAGGAGAGAGTCAGTGCCCTGTACAAGGTGAGGGGTCCTGGGCCAGGAGTTGGCAGGGCTTTGGTGGCCCTGGTTGGGATGAGGTGGTAGGTGGGGACCCCACTGGCAGAGCAAACCCAGAGCTCCCTTTTGGCTTGTAGAACCCGAGAGAGTGGACGCGGATGGTGATCCGGAACATAGCCACCTCTGGCAAGTTCTCTAGCGACCGCACCATTGCCCAGTATGCCAAGGAGATCTGGGGCGTGGAGCCTAACCGCCAGCGCCTGCCAGCACCTGATGAGAAGATCTGAGCCTCTAGACCAGACCCAAACCTGCCCCTGAGTCTGTTGGCAGTCCCTTGGGCAAGCTCCAGCTCCTTATCCAGAGTGTAGGGTACTGGGGTTAGATCTCTAAACCTCTTCCTGGAACCCCATTTCCCATCAGCCTTGAGATCCCAGTGTTCAGCGTGACTAAGGACACTGCTCCCGTCCTGTCCTCAGGCTCCCCGCCCGCTCCTATTTATGGGTCTGACCAACTTTACCCACTCCCCAATAAACTGGTTCTCCTTGGGAGCCTCCTTACTCCTCTCTCTGTTGGGAAATATTTTTAGCTCTGGGCGGCATAGCAGCTGCGCAGTCACCGCGCCTTACCCCGACCCGTGTCAGGTGCGTCCCCTCAGAAGCGGGGGTGGGGGGGGG